TTACATAGATTTCGCGTGATATTGCTAATTTGATCGACTGGTAATAAATATTGAGCGCGACAATGAATAATTTTATATTAGGATCCCACTAATGCTATAAATGTTTATACAAGTGTTGGATCGTATAAGCATCGATCGTTAGCACTCTCCAGGTAGAAGTCGTAAATAACGATGTAAAGGTTCACAAAGTACGAAGGTCCGGTTGAGGATTTGTACTTTTGTACCCTTAGTCATAAACATAGGCAAGTTTCAAACAACAATATATTACATCGTACGTGGGAACTGTGTTGTTCACGGTTATCTTAGCAGCAGTGATACCGCATTGTTACGACCCGTCACCGCTTTCTTCCTCATTTTTCGTCGTTGTTTTCCGAAAAATAATCGCCCAAAAAATTTTCCGTCAGCATCATTATTCATTTTCATTACAAGTCTCTCCAATATTTTGTACTTTTGCTCTTTATATACATGTGTAATTTTATATTGCCCTTTATTTAGTGAAATTATAAAACTACGTTGTTATAAGAGACTGTGGTTAACAAAAGAAAAGTTTATTGAATATCTAAAATATTAAGAAAAAGTATTTAAAATATAACGCGTTTGCAATATTTATTTTTTATCGTTATAAATAAAAAATACTGTTTACTATTAAAATTCGTATTTAATAATCAAAAAGAAAAAATTTTATTTTGAAAGAAAGAGTTAGGTTTCAAGAGAGAGAACCATTTCATTCACTAGCATATATTCTGCGAATTATGGAGCATATACACCCGCATTCACTTCTCCTTTTGATTCAACATAGCAATAAAATCGCTGGCTTCCTATATAAATACATTTCTTGTCCCTTATCGGTGTTGCAAGAAATAAAGTGATTATTACACGCAAATTATTTTATGCATTTATGACGAAATACATTAGTCACTTTTACCAAACGTCAAATGCATCAGTTTCCTCAAGAAATAACGTCGCAACTTTCAAAATTTCTCGTAAATTCAAGGTGTCTCAAATAAAAAAAAACTTTCAATAACATATAATATTAATTCTAAGAAATGCATAACAAAATATATTCACACGCGAATGCATTTCATATATTTCTCTATAAATGCATATTCATAAAAATTCTAATATCTCTTTTTGGAAAACATCTCTAATTTCATACAAGAGAAAAATCTTTTCCATATCAGCTATGAAATTTTTCACTATCTAATCTTTCAAAAGTGGATTGTTATAAAAAAAACGACGAAAAGGGGGATACTAAATGATTTTATGTAATAAAAAAATAAAAAGGAATAAAAAACGACAGCTAGAGAAATAATGAGTCATTTCGGCAAAAGCATTTCGTGTGCACGTGGACATGCCCCGTTTGTCGGAGAACGAACTAGAAGAGAGAAAGAGAAGAAAGAGGGAAGAATTTGTGCGTGGAAAAGAGGAGGGGAGACATTCGTGCGTAAAAAAACGTGCGTACACGCGAGTGAACGAGCGAGACAGATAAAGAGTTGAACGAACCCACGCGCGGACCGAACCTCGCTAATTTTTTAAAGACCCACCTCCAGTATTTCTATCGGAGAGACCACCGTTAAAGCCGATGAAGGTTCTGCTGCGTAATAGAGGCAGGTTTTCGCGACGAGTTTTAGAGGGAAGGTCCTCTGTGCGTAGAATTGCCGCGGCATTTTTACAGTAAAAAAGAACTGCGGCATCAGATATCAAAAGTGATCTTTCACTAAGTTGTAGCTGAACAAAATGGGAATTTAAATCACCGATGACAATCGAGTAGACTATAATGTTACTTTCGACGATAATCGGCTTCAGTAAGATTATCTTCTAGTCTAATGAGTATTTTGCGCAATGTATATACGCGAGATTATCATATAGAGATTGATAAATCATGAATAAATAAAGGAGGATATATGGTAATGTATAAAAAAAAATAATCTCTAAACCGTATGACACACATACAATATTTCGAAAGTTGTATATTTTAGTAAATTATTTTTAGGTCAATTTTTATATCTGAAATCTTCAAAATGTTGTAACGATTGTTTGTATTAAAATAAATAACGGTATTATTTTGTTACATCATTATTGGTGAAAAAATAATCAAAAATCTGAATAATGAAAATTCTATCTCCGCAAAATGTGTATATTAAATTTATTTTGGTAAAAATGTTAAAAGTTATATTTTATCCATGTGATAATGAGAAAAGTAATAAATAAATAAATTTCGATAAAATCCTCTAATGAGATTATAATCACGTATCTCTCGAGTGATCGAGAATCTTTTACATCCCGATCTTGATAAGGTTTTGCAAATCTTTTATCCCGGATATGTGTGTGTATTGTATGATAATAAAATATTTATAAACCGATTATATCTTTGTGATACGAGTATTTGAGTAGCAATTAATAGTCGCGAGTGTCATTTAAATGCCACAAAAAATATAGTGTTTGAGCAATGAACGAGAGCATTTGATAATATCTTTGTTGTTCAATTATATTTTTCATTTCGTTTACTTAATTGTTGTTTTACATTTAAAACGTGATAAAGTATTGTATCGGGAAAAAATTTTAACTTTATTTCACTTTTAATCACTTGCAAGTCAAATATTCACGTAGAAAGCGTTCACTGTCGATCGAGTTTTATAAATCGCGTCCTTATAGGGATCAAGAAATTAATTATAGAGTCATCGGCGAAGTATTTGGCACGGTAAATTTGGCAATTTCATATAGAATTACTTATTTTGGCCATAAATCTGCATAATGTAATTTCAGCACGTATACGAATTTCAAGATCGTAGCGTGTCTCAAGATATATTATTTAAGAAAAAAAATATAACAGATGAAGTATGGCGAACGGAAGTAAAGCTACGGTATTATAACAGAGGCACGTTCTCACGAAAGCTCGTTTCGAACAAAGTATGTTACACGATCATATTTGATTACATAGAGAGAGAGAGAGAGAGAGAGAGAGAGCAGAAGAGAAGAAGAGAGTCAAACAATAAAACAACAATAGATTTTTAAATAGGGCATTCGGACATCAAAATTGAATGTTAATCAACTATTGTAAAATCATAAAACAATTCAATTCGTAAAAAAATTGTTTTGAAAAAAATTTGAATTTTGTGCGTGTATAACATTCTTTATATACTTTCATATAACAACTTTTAAACTATAAATTTACTTATACTTTTTATATTATAAATTTATTTTATTTTCTTCTAATAATAACAAACATAAGCAGATATGATACGTGGATCATTGTTGCACTTATAAATGTTGATACAAAAAACTTTGATATAATACCAACTTATTTTTTTTGTACTCTTCATAACTATTGTACACAAGAACGCTTTATATATATTCACACATATGCAATTTCATCTAGTTTGGATAAATCTCATTAAAATGTGTAATATATAGCGTCGTATATAACACGATACTGTTATATACAGTCTAATTATCTTGCGAGAAAACGTAAACGACCGATGATCCTGGCAAAAGAACATAAAACGCCCTTATCTCTCGTAAACTTAAAACAACATGTCATACCGAGTTGTAAAATAATTAAACACGCTTTGCGCTACAATAATGACTCTCGATAACCAGTCAATATAATTATTCCTTTAAAAAAAGGCGATGCAGTATCGTATTTTTCTAACAAAACAGCGATATTTTAAAAATGTGACATTTTAAACTATCAGAACATAAGTATTGCTTGTGTAAGTCAAAATGTCATTATCGCAGAAAATCGCACTTTCTGAAGATATGTCGAATTGAATCAGTGATTTCTCATCTCCAACCACGTAATCGTACGTCGCCCTGAATATCTCCCCAAGAAAAGATACGAAAAGAAGTTGATATCGATCATAAGGCGTACGTTTTCGGCATATTGTGACGATTGTGCTATTTTCTAAGAAGATGTCTGCGCACGTGCCCGGGCGAGAAAGCACGCGCGTGACGTCAGCGTGCGTCTGGGAACAGCTGACCGCATTCCACGATAATTGTTTTGCATAATCGCGGTGGAAGCGGTCGCGCGGTGGAAGCCTTACTTACTGTGTCCGCGAACAAGAGAAAGAGGCCGACACGAGAGCGAGATAAGTGGGGGTGGAGAAAAAAGTAGAGGGGAGAAAATTCGAAAGGGTCCTATCTCCCTTGTCGGAAAGGGGAAGGGGAGGGGAGAGGGGTCCACGGACCGACAGAGGCGTCCCTGGTCCAGCAGTCAATAGTTTCGCGGCCAACGCGCGCGTTGGCTTTTAAAGTTTAAAGATCCGACCGCGACGGCGTCTAGGCATGTAAGCGATGCTCAACTCGCGGCGCCGTGGCGGAATAAATTACGGAAAGATAACTATAATCTATATATTATCTAAAGTGCGTATAATAAGTTCGATATTACATTCGAATTTTGCATTAAATGTTGGGACTGACTCTAATCAGAAATTTTTACTGTCCTAATTGTTTCAACTCTAATCTTCAGTATAGGCTGATATACGGTTTGATTTATAACAAAAATTACGCACAAAATTTGAGATTATTTTTTTGTTTATGATATCACATCTTTGCAAGTCTCGTGCAGTTAAGATTAATATTAAATTCCATGTAAAATAAAATTATATTATCTATTTGCATTTCCTAGAGATGACTCATTTATTGGTATCGAGAAATATCAACGATTCGATTATTGCAAAAATTAATTATCCGACTTCTAAAGTAGAAGCAAACAAGATCGCTGAAAGCGCGGATAACGAAACGATGACGAAAGATCTTTAGATGAAATATCTACAAAAGGAGGTTAAGGAAAATATCACGGACCGAGTACAGCTACTGAGATATTTGTACCGTATATGGTTCTGTTTAGCAGCATCTTGCCACGTCCCATGCGACCCACATTACGTTCTTTCGCAAAGACTGGCGCGACTGGCTTTCAGCGTATCTCATTTGAAGGTTGAGAATCTTTGAATTAGTGGGACGATTATAAAAAATATGATTTAAACAATTATTTCACTTACTTTTATGGAAGAGAAGTTCGAAGAAATTCTTTTGTCTTGGTTAATATCTGCACGTATCATCCTACTCTACCAAAGGTTCCTCCTCTTAGGCACTGTAAAGAAAAAAATTAAAATTTATGAAAAATTTTTTATTGATACAAAATATGAGAGATATATAGGTATAAAGTGTACAAATACATCAAATGTAAAAAGAAAAATTAAGTAATTAGTAAGACTCTCTGTAAAAGTCGAGTTTAAATTTCTTGAGCTATATTATAAAAGCCAGACGCAAATGGTAGTGCGAGAAAAATTAATGTTTTTTTAAACTGAATCGTAGTGCATAGAGCACATATTTTTCTTGATGCAATACTAATTGTAAGTAATTAAATAAAATCTTAATTCGAGATTTTTATTTTTAATGAACTTCTCCGGACCCTTCCTAAAGAAAACGCAGGCTAAAAAATTATTTCCAATTTTTGAATATGCCCTGGTATTTTCTTAAAAAAATTTTTTTTTTAATTGACGCATGTGCGTCTGACTTATTAACCCAAAATATGGAAATCAAGATGTTTAAAAATGCTGTAAGAATAAAAGAAATTAAAAATGGCTTACAATTAAAGAAATATGTGACTTTCTAAAGATTTATCGACAACTATATCACGTTATCACCTATTTATCTTAATGAGGGGAAAGACTAAAAGGTATACACGCGATATAATTTTGATAAAACATATGTAACATATTTAAAAGTCCAATCCGATAAGTCACCATCCAAAAATACGATAGACATTCCCGATGATGGTATCAGATCGGTATATCATTTAAAGAGACTGACGCAACGACGAAACTACGCACGTTCTATCTATCATTGTAGAATCATATCGCGGCGTCGGTCGTTCAGCAAACTACGAACGTAAGACCTTTTGCAATCCCGGCCGCACGTCTCCGAGAATGGTGTGTCGCGCACATAGTTGTCGCGTGACGTTGGCGAAGAAACGACGCCAACGACAAACGACCCCGGGGAACGGCGATACGGAGAATAATAAAAAGAGAGACACGCTCGCATAGAGCGTCCGGTCATCCGCGGTTCCGTGAAAAACTCAGCGAGCAAATATCAGACATCTACGCACAATCGATTTTATACTTGACATTTCATTATTTTTCCGCTTTATCGATTTTCGATCTCGCAATTTTATTTATTCGCGAATAGGTATTAAGACATCGGTGTTCTAATTAAATTCTCTAAATTGCAGCGTATTGTATTATATTCATTATGTTCAAGATAATTATATATAGACATCTAATCAATCGAAAATGTCATTAGGAAGCAACTCAAGATTCCGATCTGGTTTTCGAGAAAGTTTGCGCGATTTTGATTACAATTTAATTCGAACAATAAGTCCGGAAGTTTTCCTTGGTATTTCAAGTTTAGGGTTAAATTACACATTGCACACGGAGCAATACTTCTGGAGATACTCGACTCGCGCGGACTATGCGATACTGATACATGATACTAGTTTTCTCTTACATATGCGTGTCGGCTGTAACCTGCAGCCTGCGTTTTTTCGCTTCTTGCGACACCCGTTATCGGATCAGCCGGATCGAATTAGCGGAACGGGAGAGAACCAAGGAGGAACGCGACCAAAATTAATTTTTGCTGGCGACCTTCGCGGCGAACGACGACGATACTCGCGAACGAATTTCTGCGCGCGTGGCAAGAGAGGAAGAGAGGAATATTTTCCGCGATGATCCACTTCTATCGCTACATCCTGCGGAGAAAGAGAGGCGAAGAGAGGCAGAGAGAGAGAGAGAGAGAGAGAGAGAAAAAGAGGATGGCATTTTCAATGACGTAACTTGGAGCGCGCGACGCATGTCGATGATTGGTCACACAGCCAGATTGCTCATCCGCAGTTTATCCTATACACGATTCTCGTTACCGGCGTGCTATCACGCGCGGACTATGCTCGGCGGTTCGTTTTACACGATCTATAATCCGACGAGAGGGAATTCGCTAACTGGCCGATATTTTCACATCTCGAAATTCCCAGTAAAATAAATGTCAAATTGACCGTCGCGATATTTAGCGAGTGCGTTAAAAATAAATGTGTCAAACTGACATTGCGCAACATACATATATCAATTTATTAATGTTTCCTTCTTTGGCAACAATCAATCAAATGGACATATAATATATACGCTACGATAAAATATGCATTTTAGAATTAAACGTGGGATTACTCGACATTTCGGAAGTGAAATCGGCGTGTCGAGGCTTAACCGGAAGTGAAGCATCGAGGCACGCAAGAATACTGCCGGTATCTCTTGAAAGGAGCATCGATACACTATCCAAGTATCGTGAAAGGTGGGTAACGGGGCGTCCCAGCCAGGTTACCACTATGAGAATTCTAATTAGAGATAATGACGTCATTAAGGTCTGAGCCGCGACGAGACGGGATGGTCTGCTGCGCTTACTGTACATACGTACCCTATTTTACACACATGCAAACACACACGCACGCGGCCCATGTACTTGCACGCGAAACGAACTTTGTTTCGAGAACGCACGTCTTATATGCTCGAGATCGTCCCTCTTCATGCGAGCGCGCTACTGTTAAAACTATTCCCGGGAGAGAGATTTACATCGCTCGCGTTCATAGCGAACGGAAAAGGAGGAGGTACTCCTCTATTCACGACCCTCTCTGTTCTCTCCCATTATAGATAAGGCAAACGTCAAACTTGCAATTTTAAATAGGATCCGCAGGATATTTATACAACACATTTATGAATTGTTTCATCGATTTTAACTCGAGTCTTCATTCAGCAAACTCCAATAAAAGTTTAATAATACATTCTGTATGCATATATTCTTTTGCAACAAAACTTTCGATAACAATTTAATTTGATTCAAAAAAATTCATCTACTCTATTACGATATTATTAGTGTTCTAAAAATAAAAAGTTTTTCCAATTTTAAATTAGAAAAAAAAGAAATTAAAACGCTCCCTATCACTTTGACTATAGCAATTCTACTGATGTCGCTCTCGAGAAGTTTATCTTATATTTAAATATTACTGTTTTCAGAATAACTTTTTTTAATCTTAATGTAATTCACCCGCCCTTATTGCTATCGTTATCGATATGTATTATTATCGGGGTGGAAGCGACTCACACGAACGGCACAGCCGCGTCACGTCCGGAATAATAATCGCATACGAAAATAATGGCAGCGCCTGTTATCTCTCGTTTCTGCGCGCATATATTACGACGCACGGAGTCATTCCGTGATTCATGACGTTGTTAAAGCAGTTCGCGGAATTACAGTAACGGACACGTCGGTGGACTCTCGACGAGACCGAAAGAATTTGTAAATAAAACTGTGCAAAGTGTTGCCGTGGTGAAAAAAATGGTAAAATTCCATCTACACTGGCAATTTAAAAAAAATTCCTGATACACTTAAATTCTTCAAATTGATTCTTCGAAAGAATCCATAAAGCTTAAAAAAAAATTCTAGAAGAGTATATATTAATTAAATTACAAGTGGAAAATTAATTTAAACGGGAGCCACGAGTTTCTACTTTTATTGTGACTTGGGTGGGAAAAATGCAATGACCGATTTTGAATTTCTCCCGATCGATGTTTAATAATAACCGTGCACCATCGTCGACGCATACGTCGCTGCTCGTCGCATATTTTCGCGCGCGCGTTGGATAACAGCTTCGTAACACGGCGCGTCGCGGTGACACAACTCGGCTCGAGTTAAGCCCGGAGCTCGTCGGCCGACAAAGCGACGAACGGGGGCGAGAAGGGAGAATCACGGAAAAGAAAGAGACGGCAGATTCAGTCGATGTTCTCTCAGTCAGTCAGGTCTCGCATGTGCGTGTGTGATTCCCCACCGAACGCACTCTCCGTCTGTCTCTATCTAACTTTTGACGTATTTTTTTCTGTCAGTGCGTCTCCGATCTGATCGTCTTTGTCGGCGGGGCGTTGCATGTATATCTCTCTTTCTCTTGCTTCGTCCTAACAGTGTGACGTCAGTGCGGATACCTGTTGCATGCCGCACTGAGAGAGAGAGAGAGAAGCGTTGGTGCGTGCAACGAATGATCGGGACGATGGCGCCAAAGCGAGAGAGAAAATAATAGATTGATTTTGCTTCGGGACAGAATTCCTTCAGATTCAACGTCGTATATGGTTAATTACTAAATTTCATTATTTTATTATTATTCATAACAAAAGCGATTTAGTTTTCTTCCCATATGATTACGGTAACCATATTTTCTGAAAGAAGATAAGGGACAATCCCTGAACATTTTAGAGCTTTGTTTCAACATGTTTCCAAATCAATTTGCGATCAAAGTGGAAATCGAGGGCAAAAAATAATTCTGCGTGACTATCAGAAGTCTCTACGTACTTTTTATGTAATTTGAAACTGATTTGATTATATTGAAACAAATGGTTTCTTAAATAGATAAAGTTTCGTTGTTTTCTTACAAATTCTTATGTTAATACTACGACATTAAAATGCTAAATAAAAAATAAAGGACAAAATTTAAAATAAACAACTGTTCTCTAAAATAAAGGAGGATGGTCACCATACATATGTGATGCACATTGCAAGTATGATTTATTTAATTTCTGAAAAAGTTATTCGTCATGCGAAAATGCAAGAAAAGTACGTGTTGTGCACGGAGAGAATTTTCTCTTGAAATTTACCCTGAAAAAAGTGGAACAATGTAGTATTGGAAAAATTTTATAAGATTTTCTCTGATTAATATTTACCATAATAAAAATATGAATATGTACATAGTAAATTTTATTACAGTAATAAAATTAATCAAACATATTTTACATCTTATTGTGGTAGATATTAATATTTTTCATTGTAGTAAATATTAATCAGAGAAACTCTTCTATAAAATTCTTCCAATGCCATATTGTCTCGCGATTATCATGATTTTCCGGATAAATTCTAAGAGAAAATTCTGTGTGTATGTATCGCGATAAGTACTCGTATATATTCTTAAAGATGATCTTAAAGATTCGCGAGATGAATACGTCTTATGCAGCGCACATTGTTTCTTTATTACTCGCGACATTCGTTAAGCATGACGCCGATTTGTCATGATTATTATCATCTTTATTGCGATATTAATCGCGTTCATAGAGTATGCCGACGAGGCGGCGGCAGTCATTAAATACCATTGGCGGAAGGAGCAACGAGGGTGAGCGCGACCAGTTTGCTGGGCTAGCTTTTCAGAGGAAGATCAGAATCAACGAAAATAGACGAGGCACGGGGCTGCCCCGTCTCGTTTGGATGTTCGCCAGTAATGTGGCGCCGCGGAAAAATCTCTATGACGAAAGAAGAAGAAAGAAAGAGACCTTAAGACGCGTTTTATTTTTCGTCGACAACATACTCTACATGTATATGCATTATTCGTCTTCTTCTTAATGTAGATATTTACCTCTTTCGGAAATAATGTCACTCCTCTCTTTCTTTTTTTCTTTCTTACCCGTATTTTTTTCCTTTTGCAACAATCTTGCTGATTGCTGAAGATACTTTGTCTTTTATCGTAGTTTTGTCGGACAGTGTTGCATATTAAAATGTTCAATAATCATTTGCCTCGTCCAAGTTATTTAAATCGCATTCGATACTATAATAATAAATCACTTCGCGCATTCATTTGCAATCAATCCCTGTCATGCTAAAAGCAAGAAATATAGCGCGATCATATCTGTGCGTATGCGTAGAAAATCGTGTAGTCACTCAGCTGTAGACTCTCGCAATTTGGAGAAGAAATTATCGCGCGCAACGTTGATAAGAAGCAAACAGACCTATAGCAAGCACAAGCGATGATAACCGCAAACGTGCGTATTATTCCATACTCTTCTCATTCAGTGACTCTCTAATCGAGCATTCTCTTATCGAGCTGCGGAAACGACCTGTGACTTTTACGTACGCACAATCTGAATTACGCACATATCGCGTTTTAAGACTCTATCACATTATCAATATATATATATATATATATTGATAATTCACGGAAAATTACCGAAGTAGAATCGAGTTAAAAGGATTGGATTTCATTCATTTACACGCTTACAAATCGTACATTTATTCGCCAAGGAAGGTTGGTCGATGTAATATGTACGTTTTATATAGCAGATATCCACTTATCTTATGTCTAGGTACTTATATCGAAGACAAAGTTATGTATGTGACAATGAATAGAAACACAATCCTCGTATAAATGCCTTACATTATTATCTTGTTGACGTGTCTGATAGTTTTCTACAGCGATATTTTACATATTCCGCAAAGATTGATTTATTAATCAAAACTGATTTATGATCATCAAATCAATACTCATTATAATGCAATACATTTATTAACTTGACTAAATCTTTCAAACTAAATTATTTTGTTAATTGAACATATATAAAAATATGTAAATTAAATATATTAAATCTAAACGTATATATTTGACTTAAATATTAATATACGTTCAATTAATAAAATGATTTAGTTAAAAGGTTTAGTCAAGTTAGCAAATTTTTTGTCATTGTATAAGTAATATTATTCATACAATATTGTATCATTATTCATAATGTTATATTTATGATAATCGTAAAAAATGATAAGAAATTTCTTTCAAATAATTCTTTTGCAAATCGCGGTGTTCAGAATATTTAATAGATAAATTAAATTAAAAAGATTAGCAAATTGAATGATTTATAAGTGACTGACACACAGTAATTAGATAACATTCCCGGTAGAGAGATATTTACTAAGAGAGATATTAATATACTTAACATTCCGTGGCATGATATGATATTCTATATACGATCTCTTTCGGCACAACACGATCTCGCGATCGACCGGGTCGATATTCGCCGCATAGCAGCATCGGATTTCCGTCTGTCATCGGGAAGTCGGGGAATGCGGTTGAGAATCGCTGTCTTAAAACACGCTCTGGTCGCCGGCACGGAAATAGAACGATTGGACCTTAACGCGCACTTTTGCGCCTTTATGTAACCCGGCCGAATTTATGGCCGTTATCTATTTAATAATACGCGGATTTACTCGCGCCATTCGCAAAGATCAAACGATCCCACGCACGCACATTGTCGCGCACGTGCGTGCCCTGACACACATACGCATAATATATATACACGTGTATGCGCACGCTTGACGTAAATTTCGCGCCAGTGCGTTCACCTCTTCGATCTCATCGCTCGTTCTTCACGGACGCTTGAATGTCGAGTTGTTAATTCTCCTCGCTCGAGGAACATCGAAAACTACTGTTCGATCGACGGCTGGCTGTCTAAATAAAGGTACGTTCGCCGTTCTGCGCGGATCGGCCGTGCTCTCTCTCTTTTTCTCTCGCTAAACTTGTCCTGTTTTCGGCTATGATCCCCTTTCACTTATTAGGAAGTCGAGATATGTGGAAAAACGAGACAAGGTGCATCTTTAACGAAAATCAACAAACCTCTAAAATTTTTACGTGTTCCGGTGAAAAAAATAATTCATTGTTCTACAATGAAAAAAAAATTATTAAATTCGAATAAATATTTTATTGCAACACTGCCTTATATAAATCATTTATTTGAAACTAATATTGATGTGATGTGAAAAATATTTATTTGATAAGAAAATCCTTTTCAAAACAGATAAATATTTATTTGTTTCAAATAAATTATTTATAAGGCAGTGTGTTGAAATGAATATTTCTCAATTCAATGATTTTTTTCAGTGTACTAACATCTATATTTTTCAGTTCATTAAGATCAGGTCATTCGTCTATTTTACCCGAATGAATAGGAAATAATAGAATGCCTCGTTTTTCACATCATTAATATAATTTTCTCTCTTTCCGCGGATAATGCGACTTATTACAAGTTGTTGTAAAGAGCTAGCAAAAGGGCATGTATAGCGATGCATGTCTATACCTAACTGCATTCATAATCGATAATATCATATAATTGACATATTTAGTCACCAACTATATTTTTCAAGTCCTATACGTTCCTATATATTTCTTTTATCTCGTTTCTTCTATCATGTTTACATATATGCTTATTAGTATTTACACGTGTTCGCGAGCGCGCGCGATTTTACGAGCGGACTTATGGAACGTACTTTGATATAGTTGCACGATAAGACTTATCTCGCCTACATAGATTTTTGACCTACATAGCTGTTCGAGAAAGTACATATTCGTTAAAATGTTATTATTTTACTCTTCTCGAATACTTTCAAGAAAGATAGATCGAAAGGCTGCTCGGATCAGATTACAGTATGACTAGACTTTACCAGGAATACAAGTCTTATCGCGAACGGATTGCTCGCTCGTCCTCGCTAGGAAATAACTATCGTACGATTTGTCGTCACAATTTGAGATCTCGAGTTTATTCAATCGATTTCGGAATTGACATTTCTAATAAACCGATTTAAATAATTAATCTCCAATTCTTTTGTATTTGTAATCGACGATCAAATCAATATTTTCAATATTTTCAATGTAACCGTGATATACGAAGGCACGTATACAATAGTCCTTATTAAATAAATGCAATCCTTATTATCAGAATTCACATTTTTAAATTCAAATAAGTAAAAGATATATATATATATATATATATTATTGATATTTGTTACTCCTACTTTTTAATTAGAAAAATATTTTAAAAATTTAAGTGCATATGTTAAAAATTGCACGAGTCAATCGTTGATTGCAATTTGCGCAGTACAGTTTCACGAACTCACATATAAAATGTTACGATTTGTATATATGTACATATATGTAAAAGTTGTACATAGAAAGAATTTTCTCTTAGAATTTACCCTGAAAAATCATTGTAATCGTGGGATAATAAAAAATATTAATTGTAAAATTAATAGAACATATTTTATATATCTTATTGTAGAAGATATTAATATTTTTATTGTAGTAAATATTAATCAGAGAATCTCATAAAATTCTTCCAATCTATCGTTCCACGATTGCCACAATTTTTCACGGTAAATTCTAAGAGGAAATTTTCTCTGTGTCTGCATTTACAATCTTAAAGCGACTATGCACATTTTTTAATCGCAACAATAGTCGCATAATAATCTTGTACTTAAAATATATTATTGTAAACAATATTCAAAATATCGCAAGAAATTGTGTACGAAATATTTTAATAATAATAATAATAATTACTAACAATCGTTTCTCTAAATATATACGTTTTAGGTCTGGAAGCAATTATAAATTCAATTAATTTAAACTTCTCGATGTTATGAAATTATGAGCGAAATATGTAGCGCGTAAATATGAGAAATGTTCGTTTTAATATAACGTTAATGTAACAAAAATTTCTTTGGCATAAAGTTTATTATTTACAAATCATTTGAGTAATATCGCTAATTAAATTCATCTTGATTCGCGCAAAGGAATAAATCGCGCGAGAGATTACGTGCTATTACTCGGCCGCCTGCTCGTTCACCGGCGATTCGTCAATTTCCTGCGACGTCGAATTGACGTAACGGAAAGGGTAGTGACGGTATTCCGGACGAGCGAGGAACAACGAATCGCACGCACATATCACGAGTTAAATTCCGCGATAGACATTTTTCCGTTCGTTAATAACGCGCTATCGACACGTACCTTTCCTCGTTCGGCGCCTTCGATGACAGCTACCCTTCAAGACGGTTTCCCGAGCTCCTTCTTCCGCCGGTTTGCGTCTTCGTAACTGTCACGATGTCGGAAGACGTAATGTGCGAGAGTTCGTCGTAGGAAATCCAAATAGTCCCGGAAAATAGAAATGGCGACGTCGCGACAAGAAACGCGATAGGCGCAAGCTCTCGCGCTATTACGCGAATCTTGCGAAACCGGCGACAAGGTCGCGCGTGACACCGGATATTTTTCTCGTTTTACGCGGACTTCGAATATCGTGCGTTCGTTCATTCATTAGCGAGATCACGTCTCGAGATCACGGCGCGAGAGAGGGAAGAACAAAGTATTCAATCGTACAAATTAGCCGGAGCAGCGTCGCAAAAGGCGTAAACTGTCAACCTCTTTCACCGTAGATAACCGGCTGGCAGACGGACGAAGACTGAGTAGAGCGACCGATCGCTCGCGGATCCCCTCTCTCGCTCACACGTTCCACGCTACCCTCTCTACCCGTTTGCGCCGTGCGACGTTCGGCGGTTCTCCCTCTCTCCCAGTCATTCTTTTTCGCTGTTTTGTCCCCCAACCCCCAACCCTCCCCCAGTCAAGACTCGGCAAGTCTTTGCGACACTCGCCGCAAAGTATGCGTGAACACGGGGGAAAGGAAATACACGAGGTCGGAAAACACGGAAATTGTACACACACATTCTTAATAGATGAGAGAGAATATTTTAAAAAATACATATATGTACATGTATATTTTTAAAAATCATTTTATATGAATGGCAAAAGAATAATAAAAGTATATTTACGAGTGTAATAGAGTTCTCTCTTATATTAAATCAGAACCAAATAAACGAACATAATCATATATTAAACGAGTGTCTAATTATTCGAAACATTTATTTTTAAAATAGGAACGATATATTTAATTCGACCCAAACTAGCCAAGAAAATTTTTATTTTATTTCCACAGTGGAAATAAAATAAAAATTTTCTTGGCTAGTTTGGGTCGAATTAAATATATCGTTCCTATTTTAAATACCACTATAGTGACGTTTTAAGTATTCAATTTGATTTATTTTTAAATCTTTTATAAAATTTATATATAAAATAAATTTGTATAAAATTATGAGTTAGGTAATACCTTCTTTTTGCTTATATCTGTTCGTTTATTACTTGGTTTCTGGATCCAGCTTTACACAAGAAATATCTCCATATTAAAGCGTGATATGTATAAAATTGCATATCTGATGATACGAACGTTTATAAACATTTGCTATTTTCATTCGAAACGACACATATTTCTCAATAAGAATACTGATAATTACGGTATATATACTGTAAAAAAATAGATTACATAAAAATATGTAAAATTACACTTATTATTTATGTAATTTTACATATTTTTTTACAGTGTACCATTGAGATGTTTATTTTATGACATCAATATATCACAAAATAAATGAGCTATGTAATAATGTATAAAATTATATACCAGTTTTTCAAGTATAAATTTCGGAGTTTGAAACATATCTATTTAATTGCGTGAGAGAGAAAAATAAAAATCGTGCTCTTTCAATTATCAGTTGGCATTAATATGCACGAGCTATTAAATTACTGTCACTATTGTCGTCGAAATTCGTATGGCGCCTTCTTCTGGCACGCGGTGTGGCAAGCTTTCGAAATGGTTTCGCGAAATGGTCGTCGCTCTTATTTCTCCTCCGAGAACTTTCTCGAGTGCTAGAAATAGCAAAGTAGCGACGAAAGTTCGCAATTGCGTCCTAGATTTGACATTAAATTTTTTTCGTGTTTCACGATAACGCGTCTAATACGTGATATGCATGTTTGATCAATTATAGTAATATGTTCTTATCTTGTGCATCGATTCATATGAAATTCGTGTACAATTATTTATTAACTCCTTAATTTAGTTTTAAAAAACAATATGTTATATTAAGTTTATTTGAAAACAATCCAAATCGGTTGAATTCAAGCTTAGAATCTTTAAAGGTGCAAACGTCGTATTATAAACGACAAGACAATTGAAATGCTAGGTCAATGAAATGCGATTTGCGTCAATGTCGAAATGAGTTTCGGCCCGAGTAAGTAGTGAACTCATGAATTATGAAAAGAATAAATTAAAAAAAAAAGTGATCATCGCTGTGCGTCGCAATTTTTCTAATTCGCAGAAAAGCAGATAAACATATTTGTGTAAAAATTTAAAATTGATGCAAGAGAAAAATACGAAAAATAAAATGTGTGTTAGACAGAATAGGATTTTGTCAGATATAAAAATTCAATCTAGATATAGAGAGGTTTCATTCGCACATCGTCGAAGATCGACTTTGTATATATCGCGCGTGTTCGCGGTAAAATTTCACGAAAATTCACAAATATTCGAGCATCGATTTGCATCATGTATTTACGCGCAATAATATCTGTCACGATTGTATTCTTACGGACTCGCAGAAGCGCGTGATGTTCACGTGAAAAGCGCCCGGTGTTTAATGGCCACGCCAGACCGTGGTGCTAATTGCTCGATCGAATGCGATTACGTTCCCGCGGAAATATTTCACGCGGATGTTTGCAGGGTTAACGATATATCGTTGTCGGGGATTGAAATCCACGAAAGCCGAAACACTCCGTGTTCGTGCAAGTCTCATATATTCGCGGCTCGTTGTTCGCAATCACTTTCCGCAATCGTTAATCTAAATTGCGCTTATTCATGCGGTAAAATCTAAAAAAAATGTGTCGTGCAACAATATGAATAAAAAAAGAGAGTATATGACTTTTTAATGTTTTATAGTTTTTTGTTTTAAAATGTTTTTGCTCAAAAATGCAGCTGTTTTAATAAAAACATGATCAACTAGATGAGAGTTAATATTAGACGAAGGTTCGCATTGCATCGATCGTTGCTGACCCGATGGAATAATGTATATCAAAGAAAGTATATCTCCAGTCTAATCGTAAATTAATGTTTTGCAAGAAAGTAGGAGACAAAGCGGGAAATGTTTAATAAGAAATAATATGAGATTCATATTGATCCACTGTGCTCTAGATATATAACCTATACCAAGACTAATCCAATTGGCCTCTTAACATAATTGGTTTGTATATAGCTATGAAAGAAAAACAAAAATAAAAATAAAAGAAAATTAAATTATCGCGTAATTAAAAAGCCAGGTTATCAATTAAATTTTAATTACGCATTGCTTTATTAAATATTTTGTCGAAAAGAACTTATCGATGTAAAAAAATTGTTCTGCATAACACATTGAAGTATTATGATTTAAAAATAATGTAAAATAGTTAATTAAAATTATTTGTTGAAAATTGTTGACGCAATTCGCGTTGACAGTTATGTAAGATAAAAAAATCGATAATTTTCTAAAAATTAAATTTAAAATAAAATAAAATTCAAGATGGAGCAATAGAGTTAAGAAATGTCAAATATATAAAGAGAGAGATTCGATTATACAAAGAATTCCCGTCAAGAAGCGTAGAATATTATTTCGTCCGTACTCGACGATTCTCATAACAGCCTATTAAACGATATCAAGTGTATTAGCGCAAACGAGCAATTTAGTCTTCCTCGCGCGATGGGATCGCGTCGCAGCGAGAAAATTCAGGATGTGCGATAGAAAAAGCAACATCATATACAGAGTGTCAGAAGCTTATTCGTATATAGAATGTCGGAATTCTAAAATTTTATATAAATGTATATTGCACACAAGAGTTGCAGCGATTATTATCGAATATTCTAGATTTATTATACTACGCAGAATGTTAAATTATATACAAATATTTTGATACAGAGATTAATGTAGTATGAAGCTTATCCTTATTTTATTAATTCTACCCTGCGATTCGATTATTTTACTAATCAATCCGAATTATATTTAGATAATAGAAAATCGAACGAGCAACGTTATAGTATAGATTGATTAAACGATTTTTGTGGATAATTTATTTAAACACATTTAGATTTAAATATACTTTATCGATTATTTATTGTTCAATTTTTCGACAATCTAAATATAATGTCAGTTTGAGAACGAACAATAAAACAATTGCAGGATTAAATTAAAATAAGGATAAGCTTCGTAAAACATCAATCGTTTTATAAGTAATTAATCTATATTTTATATTGTGTAATTTATCGCGTATATATACCTATCATAGTTTCGTAAAATATTTCGGCAAGAAATCATCAGTAGGTACGATAATATGGCATTTGGCGTCTTGGTGTCGTCTAGTATGATATTGTTGACATGCTTTGGCTCTGTTATCATTCGTGTGCCGACACTCGAGCAGAAAAATTGTAGTGCGACACGCTCCGAATTCCTTTTCTAAAATCACGATAAGATTACGATCGATATCTGATAACTATATGGTACTACTTTCTCTATCGCGCTGAATTTCCTCGCATTCTCGTCGCGCGAGGAAGACTAATTGTAAATTGCTCGTTTATGTTAATACACGACATGAAACGTTTTGGTGATTAAGTCTCGAATTAGGAATTCCGAGGTGTTTGGTGTATTTTATTTGCATCGCAGCCTATCCTGTAAACGCGATGAGCATCTCGAGCCCTCGTTTCCTCGAAATATCGCAGACGTATAAACTCGTCGCGGCGACGTCGTCGCGTGGAAATAGAGAATAGAAGTGGATTTAGAAATAGAGCCGCCAGTCGTCGGCCTAGAATTTGATCGGACGTGGCTTAACGGCGGCCTGCACCGGACGGCACTGTTTCGGGCGAGTTCGAACGTGCATCGCTCTTTCAATGCGATGCGCCGGGCAGCTTGCGATGAATAATAAACAGGAGATGCGCGAGACGGATCTAAGCTTCGACGGTTACTGAGAAGTCATTTTCACGAGAAAATTATCGTAGTACAGAGTCTTAAAATAATGGACGGGCGTAACACCGAGAAAGAGAGAGAGTGAGTTTCGCCGGGAGCAGAAATGCCGCGCCGATGAATAAGTCGTGCCCGAAAATAGTCGCGTCGGAGGGTCCGATATTAAGGTATTACGAGGTATTAATTTTAATCCCGCGAGAAAATTATTTCGTTTTTCACTAACTTTATCATTTCAGGACTTTCCGAATGTAATGTATGTTCTGTATTTTATTGAAACGCGTAATGCGATTTATTAAAAGTTTGATGAAAATTTTCATATACATATATACATATGTTTGTTTCAAAATTTGAAAAAAAAGAAATCACCTAAATAATGATTAAAAAAAAGAGAAAATCTCGCTTGCCCTTCCCGAGCCATCGGCCAGCTATGGACCTCGAGCTATGGACTCGTTATAGGAGAGAATCGCCAAGAATTCGATGGTATCTAATTAAACGATGAATAATGCACGATACATCGCGCGATTAAAGGTAGGCACCCCTAGTATGGACGGTACTCGTGCGGACCGAGTTAC